AACTGGTAAGTTTTATTGTACATAAATTATACCTAAATAAATAAAAGAACCCCAAAGAGAGAAAGGAAGGAAGGAAGGAAATTGTGCTCCACTGTGTTTCTGGACAAGATTCTCAATGTGTCAAGTATTTGCCTATTCCTAAGTTGTTGTTTTTTTGTTTTGTTTTGTTTTGTTTTTTAATTAGGGATAGATGTTGAATTGCATCAAATGTCTTTTGCTATTTCTTTAATGATCATTTAATTTTCTTCTGTGATCTATCAGTGGATTAAATTTTGATAATAGATTTCCTAATATTGAATTGTATTTGTCCTCCTTGGATAAACTGCACTTAGATTGTGTTTTTCTGGCTTCACAAAAGGAATTTGGAAACTGCTTTTTTTGTGCTCTGGAAAACTTAAGTGCTAAAATAATTATTTGTTCTGTCAAGATTTAAAAGAATTCACCTGTGAAGCTGTTTGATCCAGAAGTGTTTTCTGTTTTTGTTTTTTTGAAACTCTTTGATAACTTTCTCAATTTTGGGTTTTAACAATCCTTTTATGGGGTTAATTTGAACGTTCATAGTCTCCAAACACCCTCTGCAATCAAGTTTTCATATTCATTTGCACAGGGCTTTGCAAAACATCTTTTATGAGAGTCACAGACATTGAATCTGAGTTTGTATCAATTCCAGGGTCCCCAGTAAGTGACCATGCAGCCAGTGATTGCACACAGCCTGGGAAGTAATCCATGAATTTCAGAGGCAGCCCTTTCCCATCTTGGAATTTCCAAGTAGGATAAAGCATTTTACTGTATTGAGTCAAAATGTTATCTTCCTGAAACTCAGATCGTAGAATTTATCACTGGGAAGGGCATCAAGAAATGATCTGGGCTAGATAAGGTTTATATACTAAGATGCTCTATGTCACTTTTTTTTTTTTTTTAATGACAGAAGTTTATTTTTACAAATAAAAAACCAAAGGAGCTCCAGGTTGCTAAGCTTGATGGAAAGGTCTTAGTTTTTGCCAATTGGAGAAGCAGGCACGAACCTGAGAAAAAAAATCTTAGCATTTGTCTAACTCTAGGGTTATGTTGCCTTAACTGTATTCAGAGTGAAGGAAATTTCAAGAAAATCATTGTTATTGTTCTTAATCCCCAAACTCCCCAAATAAAACTTTTATCAGAGGGTATTTTGTTTAATTAGTCTCACTTCATAGTTACCAAGATGAGCAATTTCTAACGTTCACTTTTTCTTCTTTCAGAAAACCAGAAGGTTACAGGGAAAAAGTCTATTGACATTTCAGTACAGAGGATCTTTTAGATTCGGTTAGATAAAGGAATTTTAAAGTAAGGTGCAGGGATTGTGGCACATCAGGGCCTTGATATCCCCAGGCTGCAGTCATTGATGCAGGGTGCTCTGTGGCCAGTGTCTGAGCAACTGTTTGAAGATGTTCATTATCCTGCAAGCTTTGAAAGTATCTTTTCAACATTGAGTCTGGGATGTGCTACTCGTTTATGACCCACTCAGATACAACATCCATACTATTATTACTTATTTTTTCGAGTTTTAAGAAATGGACATTACTCCTGTTCTATTAAGGCCCAATGAAAAGCATTTTCTTCAACTAGTAGCTCCGATGTCAACAAAAACAAAGAGCAGGCAAGGCACTGGATCCTTCTTTCTTTCTTTCTTTTTTTACTTGGCCGTGGGATCTTCGTTCCCTTACCAGGGATTGAACCCGTTTGCCCTGAAGTGGAAGTGTGGAGTCCTAACCACTGGACTGCCAGGGAATTCCCTGTTTTGATTTTTATTTAACATTTAAAACAATTGAAGTACAATTGACATATAACATATTAGTTTCAGATGTACAATATAATGATTTGATATTTGCATATATTGCAAAATGATCACCACAAGAAGTCTAGTTAATATCAGTCACCATACACAGTTACAAAATTTTTTTCATGGGATGAGAACTTTTGAGATTTACTCTCTTAGCAGCTTTCAAATATGAAATATAATATTATTAATTATAGTCACCATGCTGTCCCCATGACACTTATTTTATAATTAGAAGTTTGTATTTTTTGACCCCCTTCACCCATTTTGCACACCCTCAACCCCCCACCTCTGGCAACCACCAGTCTGTCGTCTCTATGTTTTGGGGGAGTTCCATATGTAAATGAGATCATACAGTGTCTTTCTCTGACTTATTTTGCTTATGTAATCCCTTCAAGGTCCATCCACATTGTTGCAAATAGCAAGATTTCATTCTTTTTACGGCTGTATAATATTCCACTGTATGTGTGTATTATATGCCACATTTTCTTTACCTATTCATCCATTGATGGACACTTAGGTTGTTTCCATATTAGCTGTTGTAAACAATGCTGCAACAAACATGGGGGTGCAGGTATCTTTTTGAATTAGTGTCTTTACTTTTTCCAGATAAATACCTGGAACAAAATTGTTGGATCATATAATAGTTCTACCTTTAATTTTTTGAAGACTCTCCACACTGTTTTCCATAGTAATGGCAGCAATTTACATTCCTGCCAATAGTGCACAAGAGTTCCCTTTTCTCCACATCCTTGCCAACACTTGTTATTTGTTGTCTTTTTGATAATAGCCATTCTGACAAGTGTGAGATGGTATCTCACTATGGTTTTGATTTGCATTGCTCTGATGATTAGTGATGGTGAGGCTTTTTTGTTGTTGTTGTTTTTAATTGAAGTATAGTTGATTTACAATGTTGTATTAGTTTCTGGTGTACAGCAAAGTGGTTCAGTTATACACATACATGGATATATATATATATTTTTTCATATTCTTTTCCATTATAGGTTATTATATTAAATAAAGTTCCCTGTGCTATACAGTAGGACCTTACTGGTTGTTTTTGTTGTTGTTGTTTTGCTGTATGTGGGCCTCTCACTGTTGTGGCCTCTCCCGTTGCGGAGCACAGGCTCCGGATGCACAGGCCCAGCGGCCATGGCTCACAGGCCCAGCCACTCCGCGGCATGTGGGATCCTCCCGCACCGGGGCACGAACCCGTGTTCCCTACATCGGCAGGCGGACTCTCAACCACTGCGCCACCAGGGAAGCCCCTATTGGTTGTTTTTTTTAAAAATAAATTTATTTATTTATTTTTGGCTGCACTGGGTCTTCGTTGCTGCGTGGGCTTTCTCTAGTTGCTGGGAGCAAGGGCTACTCTTGGTTGCGGTGCGTGGGCTTCTCATTGCAGTGGCTTCTCTTGTTGTGGAGCACAGGCTCTAGGAATGTGGGCTTCAGTAATTGCAGCACACAGGCTCAGTAGTTGTGGCTCACGGGCTCTAGAGCGCAGGCTCAGTAGCTGTGGTGCATGGGCTTAGTTGCTCTGCAGCATGTGGGATCTTCCCAGACCAGGGCTCGAACCCATGTCCCTGCATTGGCAGGCAGATTCTTAACCACTGTGCAACCAGGGAAGCCCTATTTTATATATATATATATATATAAAACAGTTTGGATCTGTTAATCCCAAACTCCTGATTTATCCCCCCACACCCAGCCCCCGCTTTCCCCTTTGGTAACCTTAAGTTTGTTTTCTATGCCTTAAGTTTGTTTCTGTGTTTCTGTTTTGTAAATAAGTTCCTTTGTATCATATTTTAGATTCCACATATAAGTGATATATGGTATTTATCTTTCTCTTTCTGACTTACTTCACTTACTATGATAATCTCTAGGTCCATCCATGTTGCTGCAAATGGCATTATTTCATTGTTTTTTATGGCTGAGTAATATTCCATTGTATATATGTACCATGTCTTCTTTATCCATTCCTTTGTCAATGGACATTTAGGTTGCTTCCATGTCCTGGTTATTGTAAACAGTGCTGCAATGAACATTGGGGTGAATGTATCTTTTCGAATTAGAGTTTTCTAGGGATATATGCCCAGGAGTGGGATTGCTAGATTATGTGGTAGCTCTATTTTCAGTTTTTTAAGGAAACTCCATACTGTTTTCCATAGTGGCTGCACGAATTTACATTCCCTCCAACTGTGTAGGAGGGTTCCCTTTTCTCCACACTCTCTCCAACATTTATTATTTGTAGACTTTTTAATGATGGCCATTCTGACTGGTGTGAAATGATACCTCATTGTAGTTTTTTATTTTATTATTTTTTAAAAATAAATTTATTTATTTATTTTTGGCTGCACTGGGTCTTCGTTGCTGCGCGGGCTTTCTCTAGTTGTGGCGAGCAGGGGCTACTCTTCGCTGCGGTGCGTGGGCTTCTCATTGCAGTGGCTTCTCTTGTTGTGGAGCACAGACTCTAGGCATGCAGGCTTCAGTAGTTGTGGCTTGCGGGTTCAGTAGTTGTGGCTTGTGGGCTCTAGAGCACAGGCTCAGTAGTTGTGGCACACAGGCTTAGTTGCTCCGCTGCATGTGGGATCTTCTCGGACCAGGGCTCGAACCCGTGTCCCCTGCATTGGCAGGCGGCTTCTTAACCACTGTGCCACCAGGGAAGTCCCTTAAATGAAAATGATTTTAATGTGAAAAAAAGAAGGGTACAAAATAGTACTTACATACTGATTGAAGCTGTGTGAAAACAATTCAGGCCATGAAATTCATCTGGAAAAAAAAGTTATCATTTACAGCCTTTAATGAACATGGCAGCATGCTGGGCACTGACAAGAAAACGGCACAAATACGCAGGAATAAAGCACAATAAGAAAGTCCAAGCTGCGGTTTGGGCTCCCTCAAAGTCCGTTGTAAACTCTGTGTTTGTTCCTGAGCTGGACAAAGGATGGGGTGGATGTCCCCACCGGGCCCTTGGCGGAAGGAACGCCAGGGGGCGCGCCAAGCACGTCGCCACGTCCCCCGGCGCCCCCGGGGCAGCGCGAGTTCCCCAGAGCGCCCGGGCAGGACCGCTACCTCCCTGCCGGCCTCCACCCCGCCCACCGCCAGGGGGCGCCGCAGGCTGCCCGGCACTCGGCTCGCCGCCGGGAGCGCCAGCGCGGGCGAGCGGCGGAGGCCGGCCTGGGGGCGGCCATGGACCGCTTCGTGTGGACCAGCGGCCTCCTGGAGATCAACGAGACCCTGGTGATCCAGCAGCGGGGAGTGCGCATCTACGACGGCGAGGAGAAGGTAGGGCGGCGGCCGGCCTGGCCTCGCTCCCGGACCCGGACTCGCGGGCCCGGCCTCGCCGCTCGGCTCCGCCCCCGCAGTCCACGCCGGCCCAGCGCCCGGCTCCGGCCGACTTGGGAACGGCTCCGGGCGGGCGCGTCGGGCGGCGGCCCCTTTCCCACCCGGGGTGAGACCCCTTCGGGCGGCACGGCGGGCGCGGGCCGGGAACCCTGATTCCTCGCTCCGATCGCGGCGGGCGGGCGGGCGACGGGCAGGCCGGTTCCGCCTTTGTCCGGAGGCCGCCGGGTCCTGCGCTCCCGAACCGGGCGTGACTTCGGGCGCTGGGACCTGGGGGAGCCCGAGGGACTAGGCGGTCCCGGCCGGAGCGGGAGGGGGGTGGCTTTAAAAGGATTTCCGAAAAGAAGAGTTAGCCTCTCCTGGGACGCCTTGGCTGTAGGCTCTGTGTTTTGTTTGTTTTTTCTTTAAGAGTGACAGTAGAAAGGCGGTTTGATTGTTTTGTCGAGTGATGGAGTAGGCCATGCCTGGTAATCCAAGCGTAAACCTTAGGAGATGTGTTTGCAAATTGAAAGGAGAAATATCGCCAGTATTTCACAGAAATACTAACGTTCACTGGAGACTTTCGTCAGACTACAAACTATCATCCTGTTCTGGATGAAATGTATAAACTGGAATTAGAAAAAAATTTAAAAAACCATTTACTCACTAGCATTTGTGGTTTCCAGAAGTTTTCACTTGTTTCTTCTCCTTCCTTGCAGTTTCCTTAGAGAAACTTCCTCCTGTACTTTCGCAAACGTTGCTGGACCCAGAGCTCTTCCTGTCTGTGCTTTACAGAAGCTTGAGGCTTCCTTCCTTCTAGGGGGTGGAGGGCAGGGGTTAGTTATACAGCCATCGGAGGTACCGGGGGCCCAGGGGCTCTCCCTACTGGAGGGCATTTTTCCATGTTTCCATTATTGAGTCAAGATCTTTTTTTCTTAAATAATTTGCTTGGCCTTAACTCTGTTTACTGCTTCAGTACTTTTATTAACTTGATCTCAAATTGGGTTTGAGTGTTTTGGTCGGAGTGACATACTCAGTGTTTTTGTTTTTGTAAACCGAGGTTACACCTTTGGAACTGGGGAGAATGGGAAACTTAATCAACCTGCCCTCCCTCGGGGGCTTGGAGCTTGGCAGCACCCTCAGGTCCGAATATGGGTATTGACAGATGGGTCTTCAAAGTCTCCTCCAAAGCCACTCCCTGCTGGCCGTCTAGCTTTTGCTGATCCCCACACTCTGTTGTTCTATGGAATTCCAATATGCGAATTAGGGACATGTTGGCTGCACAAAACATAACTATGGTATGTTTTTTTAAAAAAAATAAATTTATTTATTTACTTTTGGCTGCATTGGGTCCCCGTTGCTGTGCACGGGCTTTCTCTAGTTGTGGTGAGCGGGGGCTGCTCTTCGTTGCGGTGCGCAGGCTTCTCATTGTAGTGGCTTCTCTAGTTGTGGAGCACGGCTTAGGCATGTCAGGCTCAGTAGTTGTGGCACACTGGCTTAGTTGCTCCGCGGCTTGTGGGATCTTCCCAGACCAGGGCTCGAACCCGTGTCCCCTGCATTGGCAGGTGGATTCCCAACCACTGCGCCACCAGGGAAGTCCTTATGGTGTCTTTAAAACAATAAAAAGATCAAACGATTAGCACCCATATATGAAAAACCATTGCTGAACTAGCAAATTCTAGTTTTTCCTTTATTTATTTTTGCTTCTTGTTTTAGCAGACATATAGGTATCAGAGGATTAAGAAAAAAGTCATGGGAAATACTTAGTCGAGACCCTTTGATCTCATCAAGAATTGTTTTTTTTATAACTTTATTTATTGAAGTATAGTTGATTTACAGTGTTGTGTTAGTATCGGGTGTACAGCAAAGTGGTTCAGTTGTACAGATGTATCTATTCTTTTTCAGATTCTTTTCCATTATAGGTTATTACAAGGTACTGAATATAGTTCCCTGTGCTATACAGTAGGTCCTTGTTGTTAGTCAAGAATTCTTAACCGTTCTGCAAGCTGGAGGTGGTGCGGGAGGGCTATGGGTGTCTTGAAACATAAGCAAAGCTCTAAGGCCTGCTCACCACTGTGGTCCCTGGGCTGGATCTACTCAGTCACTTGCTGAGCTGTCCCTAGTGTGGCTGAGGGCCAGACTGATTCCTGGGGGAAGTCCTGTGTCCTGGCTTTCTCCCTCTGCTGGAAGGCGTCCAGACCTCGCGTGGTCTGAGGACTCCAGGAAGCTGCACAATTCAACCTCCAGGTCTGAGCAGGTGCCCTTTCAGAATCTTTTACTAGCTCCCATGGTCTCAGTGCTGCAGTGCAGACTGCACAGCCTTCTCAGCTTTGCACCCAACATGTTCCCCAGTAGGTGCAGGACTAAGACCAGTGGACTCTCCCTCCTCGTCCTTTGTATCTTCTGGCTCACTGTGGGTGTGACATACATTAAAACAAAGAAACACACAAAACCTTGAATAAGCAGCGTACCTGCTACGTGCCAGGAGCTTTACATAATTTAATCCTCTCAATGGGCATGTGAGGTGAGTATTTTACTGAATGAGAAAAGAACTCTCACAGGCAACAGTGACTTGCCCTAAGATCCACTGAGTTAGTTCAGAAGAGCTGGGAGTTAAATCTCTATTGATCAGACTCCCAAAGACTGTGCTTTCTTCACTCTGCTGGAGCGCTTCAAAAATACAGCAGTTGGGGCTTCCCTGGTGGCGCAGTGGTTGAGAGTCCGCCTGCTGATGCAGGAGACACGGGTTCGTGCCCCGGTCCGGGAAGATCCCACATGCCGCGGAGTGGCTGGGCCCGTGAGCCATGGCCACTGAGCCTGGGCGTCTGGAGCCTGTGCTCCAAAATGGGAGAGGCCACAGCAGTGAGAGGCCCACGTACTGCAAAAAAAAAACAAACAAAAAAACACAGCAGTCACCAGTGCCAGACCCTTTCCATAGTGTAATATGTGTGTTCTATGTATGTTTATGGAACATCCTCTGAAGATGAGTACACTGAGACCCTCAGTAGGTGGTTGAGAAAACTGCGACCTGTCCATGGTCGCACAGTTGCAATGGGTGGAGCCAGACCATTGCTTTTTCCACTGCTCAGGTGCCTCTTGCTTGTTTATACAGGCACAGTTTTCATGGGCCCCTTATGACCGGATAATATGTTGTTTTCCTAAGCAGTGTGGACAGGTCATTTGTTTCAATTCACAGAAGCGTCTGTAGCCTCAGCTAATTTAAAAAGTAATGTAAGAAGGTTAGTGGTGTGTAAAGTGGCAAGTTGCCAGCTTATACTAGAAGATTTAGAAAATGTGTATTTTCTTTCAGCTTTTAGGAATTTACCCTCGGGAAATAATCAGAGATGCATAAAAATATAATGAACGAGGATGTGCATCTCAGCAGTATTATATATATATTATTTATTATTATGTAGTATAGGGAAAAATTGGAAGCAGTCTGAATGTCCACCATAGGGATTGGTTAATTAAATATGACACGCCCTAATCAGCATGAGGCGTGGCTAATCATAGGCTGCTAAGTGAAAAAAAGCAAGTTATGAAACTATAAATATCTTGGTCTCATTTTATTTTAAGATTATATCCACACACCCTGGCTGGTCTGATTACGAATGATTTCATTGCCTTTTTTAGACTTAAAAAAAAATGTTTTCCAGATTTTCAACAGCATATTACTTTTATAACAGAGAAATGTGAACTCAAAACAAAACAGTGAGAGCTTATTCAGCGAATGCCTAAGTTATTTTAACTACTGACTTTTAAGTAGTTGAAATTATTCTAGCTCTGAGTGGTAGAAGCAAAGCAGCCTAAACTTGTCTGTCCCGTTGAGCTCATAATCCCTTGGAATCCCTGAAGGGAACAATTACACAGTGTCTTCACTGGGAGCAGCAATGCTTTACGTGTGCACATTGTTCATCAACATAGTGATGGAACGTCCTCTGGCTTCAGCTTTAAACTCACATCCTTATGCTTGGATTTCGGTCAGATACCGTGCAGTTTCCTAATCAGAGCTATTATGTAGTTATGCTGTGTAATGTGGTATCAGGTACTCTCAAGTTGATAAAGTATTTGCTTCTGGAAAAGTGAAATCTTACTCATTGGCAAAAAAGAGATTTTTTTGCAGTACGCAGGCCTCTCACCGTTGTGGCCTCTCCCGTTGCGGAGCACAGGCTCTGGACGCGCAGGCTCAGCGGCCATGGCTCACGGGCCCAGCCGCTCCGCGGCATGTGGGATCTTCCCGGACCGGGGGCCGAACCCGTGTCCCCTGCATCGGCAGGCGGACTCTCAACCACTGCGCCACCAGGGAAGCCCAAAAAAGAGATTTTTAAAATAGCATAAACTCAATTATTTGGTTTTGCGTATGCAACGTTAACCAAAACATTTGTAGCCAGGCCGCATTAAATGCCAGGGATGTGAATGTGTTACTTCAGATGCAGAGGAAAGCGTGGAACTCCGAAGTCTTTTCTCTGAGGTGCTGAAGTGCTTGGTGGAAATCTCTTACAGAGTGTCTTCGACCAGATGGTTCAGC